GAACGGCCAAGTTTCGATCGATCCGCAATGGCGGAGGTTGATAAGCTGAAGTTGGGATCAAATGCTAGATTCTTCCCTGCCACTTCAGAGTTGTTCTATGGGGCCTAGCTGTTGATTACAGAGAAAGAATTGATGAGTTCGATGGGTTCAAATTTGAAGTTGAAGTCTGTTGAAGATTATGAACGTGCGGAGGAGGGCGGCGGCGTTAAGATTGGCTCTGAACCTATTTGCAAAAATGCGGTCTGGAGATCGCAACGATGTCGTTCCACCACATCATCTTCCTCGACTACTCCGCCTCCCTCACTCTACCACCCTCGATCTGCACCTGGACACCCAAAACGACGGCGTCGACTTGAACTCGGACTGGGAACCGATCTGATTTGTGACGAAGTCCGAGTCTGTGGGGTAATGAGGGAGGACAAGGGTCAATGGGCAAGAGTTTGGGGGGACGGGTCAATGGGCAAGAGTTTGGCGGATGAAAAAACCAAGGTGGGTTTGGGCGATTCTGGGCACGGTGAGAGAGAGAAGTGGGGAGGAAGGAGACTACGGTGGAGAGGAGAGGGAGAGGCGAGAGAGAAGGGAGAGAAAGGGTGGTGGAGGACGGGTGGGAAAGGGTTTTGGGTATTCTGGGATGCAGAGAAGAGAGAGAGGCAAGAAAGGGTGGGAGAGAGGAGAGAGAGAGAGAGAGATTTAATATATATATTTTTTTAATTTTTGAATATTTAATTATTTTTTAATCCAGTTGGATTAGTGAGTGGGACACGTGTCGGGCCACGTCAGCATTTAACAGAGAAATTAACAGAAAAACTGACGGAGGTCTGACATTGACACAAATTCGTAAGATGAGGTATGACATTGTCAATTTTAAAAGATGAGGTATGAAAGTGTCGTGACACCAATATTTGAGGTAGTTTTTTGTACTTTACCCTATTTTTTAAATATTAAATTTGAAATGATTTCTGACCACACGATATACGATAAACGAACATAATTGATCGATCACTCGAACCTCCACAAAGAGAATCCAGACAGGATCCTTTTCCAATAATTTGTACCAGCAACTACTACAACAACTAACACCCTCTCAAACTACATATTTGGATCTCCTCAAAACATATGTATGTGTATGCATAGCATGGATGGGTTCTTGGTTTCGGATGTACTCAAAACCTTATTTACTAGCTACTGTACTACCACTATGGCCACACGATCAATGGAGGATCGATGCTCATGTTTTCAAACTAATCTGAATCACTGATCACATACCTTGCAAGAATGCGTAACTCATATTCACATGCGTCAACATAAGCATTTTTTTAAGAACGTAAATCTAGAAAGAGAACATTTCCCTTGGTTTATATACACTAGCCTTCATGCACGCTCTCACACGCGTACAAAAGATATTTTTTGAATTACAGCGTGTTACGCGCGACTTACCCATTTTAAATGTATTTATATGCGTGAATTGCTTCAATATATTTTTTATGACAAAAAGAAAGTCAAATATTTGGACTAATTACAATGGGAATTAAAGAGAAATTAGAACAAAAGTAGAGAAAAAAAATTGCTAAAAAAAATTAATTATTTGACAACTAATTGAATCACATTATTATGTGCGTGCGAAAGATCTTTTTTTTTTTATAACCGACACTGCATTATTATCGTTTGTTAAAAAAAAAAATCATTTGATAACTAATTAAATTACATTATTATGTGTGTGCGAAAGATCTTTTTTATTGAATCACATTATTGCTAGCCTATTGTGAGGTACTAGTTATAAAATAAATAAATAAACCAATGTGCAAAAAAAAAAATTATTAAAAAATACTGTTTATATGAAAAAAAATACTCCTGCATTATTTGATGCATTATATTGGGCTACTTTTGAACTTTTTTGTCCAAAAACTTTTGATGAAGCCGTGACACCAAATTGGGGCGCTGGCTTTATATACACAGAAGATTAACCTATCTTATCTTCCATATTGGAGGATCATGCATCCTGCATGGCTAACAAATGGGTTATATTATATCATTTCGTGGTGTGCGTGTATATATGATCCACAAATTTTAGGAATAATATTCCACACATGGATCCACAAACGTGGTCCCTAACATTTCCGTGGTTAATTTATGCATGAGGCATGCCCTTCGCACGATGATAAATAGCATTGGTTTGACCACTCTTTGCTGCATACATATAATACGCCATATATACACAAATGAAACTGATTATTAAATTATGTTGATTAGGGAGGAGACATTAAAAAGCCAATAAAGGCGCACTAAGTTGCATTTGTGTATTGCTTATTGTTGGTTTTGTGTCACTCAAATTCTATTTTTAAGTAAAAGTTTGTAACAAGTTTGATTTATGCATTAATCTGATATTATTGTGAAGCAGTTCTAATGTGGAAAGTTCGAGTGTCTCTTCTTATACTTTTCTTAATATCGTTATCTAGGGTGAGAGGCTAAACTAAATTGCACAACGGCTTGCAATAACTTGGTATCGAACTCAGCATTATAAGAGTCGAACTTAAGACCGTATTATTGCTAGTGACCAATATCTCTTGTTGTTAAAATCAATAATCATGAGAGATTGAAAGGATTCCACGGTTTTCATCATGTGTTAGTCAATCTTCATCCTCGTATCAGCAACCCTACCAGATTTTTTGGGCTTTCTTTTCTGATTAAAAACTTAAGAAGCATGAGATTTTCTGATGATTTATTATTATCGTATGTCATTCTCTGGGCCAGTGGACTTGTGATCCTCACATGCAGCCTCTGGTCGGTCACCCATTTCGAAAATATGTGAAACTTCACGTTGATTCAACGTAACGGGAAGACCTGAGCTGTTGATTTGGGATAATATCGTCCTAGGGCGGTTTACGATTTCATGATTGGTTGACTTTTCTATAAAAAAAGTCATGGGGTTTGACTTTCTGGTTTTTTTTTTCTTCTACAAAACAAAATCATTTTCTCACCTGATACCACATTATTGAACTAAAAAAATTTCCAACTTTTTAGTCCATGAAATCATCAATGGCTAATGAAATTAGCAATCTTTCATTTTGTTTCTTCAGTTGCTTTGCTGCAATGGTCTTTTTCATCGTTTGCTTGCGGCACAAGAAACACAGTAACACGAACAATAAAAGACTGCCACCAGGCAAGATGGGGCCTCCTTGGGTAGGCCAGACAATAGAGTTTTATGAAGCTCAACGGAAGAACAGTTTGTTTGATGATTTCATCCAACCCCGGATTGCGAAATATGGCAAAATCTTCACTACACATCTGATGGGATCACCAACTGTTATTGTAAATGGAGCCAATGCTAACAAGTCTCTGCTGTCCAATGAGTTCAAGTTGGTGGTGAGCTCGTGGCCTTCGGCTTCCGTTCAGCTGATGGGAAAGGACTCCATCATGGAAAAGCAAGGGGAGAGGCACCGCTGCCTTCGCAGGCTTATAGGCGAGCCTTGGCCAGGCAGGGCCGGAGACTTTAGTGCCCAAAATATGCAACTCTGTGCAGTTGCATTTGGACATAAAGTGGAAAGGCCAGGACAAAATTAGCCTCTACCGTTCGACAAAAATCTTGACGTTTACTATAGTGTTTGAGTGCTTCTTGGGGATCGATGTGGAGGCAGAGATGTTGGGAACATTTGAGAGAGTTTTTGGAAAGGGTTTTTGCAGGGCCTGTTCAGATTCCTGGTTCAAGGTTTTGGAGAGTAAAGAAAGCGAGGGTGGAGATAGACAAAATGCTGGTTGAAGTAGTAAGAGAGGAGAGGGTGCAAATGGAAGGAAATCTAGAAGAAGAAGAAGAGCAGGGAGTAGCGTTGCTTTCTCGATTGGTGGCTGGTATGATTCGCAGAGAAATCACCGAAGAGGAGGTTGTTGATAATGTGGCTTTGCTTGTTTTTGCAGCACATGATACTACTTCTTTTGCCATTGCCATGACCTTCAAAATGTGGGCTCAGCATCCATGTTTCCATAGTGTTCTACTCCAAGGTATGTAACATTTGATGCAGTCCAATTTCATCGATTTTAATTGCGAACATATTGGTGAGTTGCATTTTGTTCTTTATCAGAACATTCTGAGATAATGAGAAGCAAAGGGCTAGGTGAAAATCTGACACAGGATGACACAAAGAAGACGAAGTATACCTGGCAGGTTGCGCGTGAAAGCATACGGCTCTTCCCTCCCATCTTTGGCTCTTTCAGGAAAGCCATTGCTGACATTGAGTATGAAGGATTCACCATTCCCAGAGGATGGAAGGTACACGCCGTCTGCTTTGCTCCATACAATTTTATTCCAGTTTTCACTTACAGAGCTTGGACTAATTTATATTGGTTAATTTTATGCAGGTGTTGTGGACAACGTATGGAACGCATTACAACTCCGAATGTTTTCAAGATAATTGAGTTTCAATCCAAGTCGGTTTGAAAAGTCTGTACCACCGTATGTGTTCCTTCCATTCGGGGGAGGGCCGAGAGTGTCTGCAGGGTACCAACTGGCCAAGTTGAACATCCTCATCTTCATGCATTTCATTGTTACTCGTTATAATTGGTCTTTGCTCTATCCCGATGAGCCTATAACCATGGATCCCCTTCGATTCCCTTCCAATGGAATGCCTATAAAAATTACCCCAAAGTTGCCCTGAAGCAAAAATTTGCAAATCAATGCATAAATACAAGCAAACTCAAAGTATCTGAAGATTTAAGCGGCGAAGTCTGGTTTTCTGAATCAGTTTCCCATCCCATTAGATGTGAAGACTGCATTTTAATTTATATTTCGAAGAGCTATTGTATAGACATTCAACAGATGAAGAATTAATGTCAAAGAAGATAGCAGAGATTCCTAATCAAGATTCATGAGATAATCATTTCAAACATCTTTGGAAAAAATGGTAATTCACTATAACAATTCGCAGGAAATTTGTAGCATGGTTGGTCGAGATTGTGGATTCGTTTGCAAGCACACAAATGCAAGGTTTGCAACGGTGATCACTTTTTCAACAACATGATTTCCAGGAGGCGGGAGCCTCTTGTCTAAGACGTCTTTCAGTTGTATAGGTTTGGGTGTTGATGTTAATGACAATGACAAAAAAATAGGAGAGGAGTCCGGGATGCTTTCCCATGATCACTTCTAGTGCTACCACTCCAAAGCTGTAAACATCACATTTCTTGTTCGTTTCCATCGTGTATGCTAACTCTGCAGAACAAAGACCGAATCATGATGAGTAAACCAGGAAATAAGTACTTACGTTAAGTGGAAGAATTCAGAAGATAAGTACCTGGATCACTGTATCCGAATGTGCCTGCAAAAGAAGTCCAATTTGAAGTCTCAAGATTCAAGAGCTTAGCTGTTCCAAAATCAGAGGCATAAGCTCCAATTCCAAATCCAGCAAGATGTTCTTGCTTGAAATGTCTCGTTGTACTATCAGAGGTGAACAATCATGGTGCATATAAGACAATTCATTAGCAACATCCTTTACAACATTCACCCTCTCAATCCATCCAAACTTAACTGCATCGTTTTCTTCGGTCAGTATGTTTTCCAAGCTTCCGCCTTCTACGAAATCGTACAACAAAAGAGGGTGCTGCGGATGCGAACAGAAACCATAAAGCTTCAAAATGTTTCTGTGACGAACCTCTGAAAGAGTACGAACCTCACCCTCAAAAGCCTTGAGATTTGCCATTCCACCGTCCTGCGGCATGTGATGTTTCTTCACTGCAACAATCCGGCCTGTTGGCAGCTCAGCTTTATAAACAGTTGCATTACCTCCCACCCCCACACAATATTTGGAGTTGAATTCCTCTGTAGATTCAATGATGTCTTCATACTCAAGTCTTCCGTCATAGCTCCAAACCGCAAACTGGTCTTCATTTAATTGCGCTTCCCGCGGATAGCAGACCACAAATAGAATTCCAGTTACCACAAATGCAAAAAACAGGATGCCTAAAACATGGAGTACAATGAAGATAACCGATTTGCTGATTTTTTTCTCCCTTCTTGTTTTGGACGGGCAAACATTCAGACCTGTGGCATTGCCACACAAGCCTGTGTTATTTGCAAAAGCTAGAACAGAAGCCTCGTGGAATGCTTTGTTGTTGGGAAGAGGACCCCCCAAATGATTGTATGATACGTCAACAACTGTCAAGCTCAACATGTTATCGACTGTAGATGTGATCAAACCAGAGAGATTGTTGTGGGAGATATTCAAGGCTTCCAACTTCATCAAATTTCCAAGCTGTGGTGGGATTTCACTCATCAGTGAATTTTGACTGAGATCAAGAACCTGAAGAGAGCTTATGCTCCCAATCTGAAGAGGAATGCTCTCACTAAATCTGTTTCTGCTCAAGTTCTAGTCCAACAACTCTCTGCACCCGTCTAATTTTTCTGGAATTTGTCCACTGAAATCATTTGCTGCTAAGTTAAGATGTTGTAGATAGGTAAGCATTCCAATCTCCGAAGGCACGCTGCCCGAAAGTTTGTTATCACCTAGGTTGAGGTTGAACAAGGATGTCAAATTCCCTAGTTCCTTTGGGATTGTCCCAGTGAGATTATTCTAAGGTAGGTCAAGCACATGGAGCTGAATTGATCCCTCAAACCGAGGTATCCCCCCGGAAATTCTGTTGTTGCTGAGCCTCAAGCTTTGTAAGCTTTGGCACTGCTCCCAGTTTTCTGAAAGCTCTCCATAGAATCTGTTGTAACTCAAATCGAAATAAGTTAGTTTTGGATAAATGCCAAACTCTAGAGCTATGTTTGCTGTCAGCTGGTTCCTCTCAAACCTTAATCTAACTAATCTGGTGCAGTTCCTCAAGCTTCTAGGCATGGGGCCTGTCAACTGATTGATGTGTGCTGTAAACCATTCGAGTACTCCGCTGATGCATATATCGTGGGGAATACTGCCAGAAAAGTTGTTGTTGCTCAATGCCAACCACTCAAAAATGTAAAATTATTCATTTCTGAAGGAACAGAGCCATTGAGTTTGTTATTCACCAACTCCAGGTGAGTAAGAAATTTGAGCTTTCCAACTTCAGGTGGGATATTTCCAGTTAATTGGTTGCCAATCAGATACAACTCCTTGAGGCTAATCAGGTTGCCTATAGTGGAAGGAATTGAGCTGGAGAAATTGTTGCGAGAAAGGGACAGAACGGTTAAGCTGGACAGGTTTCCGATTGCTTCTGGAATCGAACCTGTGAGACTGTTATCCGCTACATCGATCACACTGAGTGAATTCAACAGGCATATTTCTGTAGGGAGGTTTCCAGAGAGAGTGTTGGCTTGAAGGAATAGAATGGTTAAGTTGCCTAACATTCGAACTTCATGTGGAATGGACCCATTGATGTTGTTTCCAGAAAGATCAAGGATTTGAAGGCTTTTCCGAAACTCTATCTCCGATGGGATGATTCCAAAAATCGCGTTGTGGCTTAAGTTTAGGCTCATGAGACTTGGGAAAGATGAGAAATTAAAAGCATGAAGTGTACCTCCTAAGCCAGAAGTAGTGAGGTTTATTTGTGTTATGCTTCCAAAACCGTTGCAAGAAATTCCATCCCAATTGCAATTACTGTTTCCGATCCAGGAAAGCGAGGCTTGTATTGTTGTCAAGGCTAGCTTTCCAATTCAGAAGAGCTGCTTCTGCTTTTTGTCCAGCAACTTCTGCTTTTGCTGCTGAATCTGAAGAAGCCAACATAAGGAGTATAACTGGGAGGAGTTGAAATGAATGCTGTGAAGAAGCAGCTTTGGTGGAAAGTGCTTTTTCTTCTTGGGATGCCATGATTTTAGGTTGTGAGGAAATCTTCATTTCTGGAGACAAGGAGATGGCTCAAGAACCATCTGCCTAATTAAGCTGGTTTGGCATTGGGAAGAGTTTTGTGCTCTAATATATGAGCTTGTACGCAGTGCAGGCACCACTTGATTATTTTATATAATATAGTGATTTATATACGCCAACATGTAGGTAGGGATATGATTGATTACATGTCTGTTAGTGTTAGTGAAGAACATATTATAATGTTGCAAGCCAAATCACGTAGCCTAATTAATTAAGAGTATTCGTCCTATACTTGAGAACCCAAAATTTAATTATTCCCTTTCTAAATGATGGTTGCATAAAAAACAAAAAAAGAAAAATCGGTATTTCATTTTGTCTAACTTTTATGTAGCAAAATAAAAAATAAAAACTAGAAATGCTTGTAATTCAAATATTTATGGACATTTTTTTTGCATTTTTATTATATATACGCAAAAAACAAATTTCTTAGTTTCAACTCTTCGAGAAATTTTTTATTATGTTCTAAATACAGTCGGGTATATAAGTATTATAATGCAATTGGTTGAATTTTTTTTCGAATTTCCAACTAATTGTTTATTACACTTGATGCTGACTTTTCAAGTATAGTATTGGTGGTCGTGTGAATGTTGAGGAAATTGTGAACTTATACATCAAACTCATTGGAAGACCTGAGGTAGACCAGATTCAACTGCTAGTGGTGACTTAAAATATGTGTGTTGGCTTTCGAAAAATAGAGATTATGCAAAAACGAGGTTCAAACTTTAGCCGTCTAGAAGTGAACTAGAAATTTGTACCCGCACGGTGCTGCGGGATTTAAAATTATATGAGATATTTTATAGCTTCAAATTTCATAAATAATGTTGAGTGAAAACAGAGAATTACGAATGACAATGCAATTTATATGTCTTATCATGAACGGATACCAAGAGAAAAATCTATTCCTTCAAAGTGCATAGAAGAAGATAATTGTTCATTCAAAAAGTTGGACTAATGATAACTGCATAACTTACAAATCCAGCATTGAGAGTACACCAGTCAAACAAAGCTTGCTACATGCTAAATAAAGTTGAATGTAAAGCTTGGATACCAGACTTGTTCCTAGCTTGAGGAGTTTCCAAGGAAGGAAAATTTGACCTTTTGTTGTAATAAATTCCAGAGAGTGTCTTGGACAGTTGTGAATACAACTGCAAAACGTAATAAAGACAATTAGGCAACGATTAAAAAAAAAAATCAAAATTGAGTTTGGGAGAGTGGAGAGAGAGAGAGAGAGAGAGAGAGGTGGTAATTTGACTTGTGAAATTCTCAAATCAAACATTTAAATGAGGTTTAATCAAAATTTAGAACAAAATGTTAATTAGAAATGTGTTAAAATGGAAGTAAAAAAGATTGAAACTTGCCTAATGTGATGTGTACAATTTTACCATCTATTTGTGAAAAATATACTGCTGTGACATGCCATATGTTGATCTTGCCTTCTTGGAAGTGATATTAGTCGTTGATTGCCAAGTAGCTAAAATATGTACAATATTTTAAATTATGAGACAAATTATTATGTCAAAGTTGTGCGATAAAAAATAATTTATATTTCTATATTGACGCAAGTTATGATTTTAATTTGCATATACCTTGGTGGAGTTATTCTGTGTATGAGTTTCTTACATTCATCGTCCATGTTATGTGAAAAGCTGATTCCAAGTTCTGCAAGAAGTCACAAAGAAATGAAATATAAAATTGGACCAAAAGGAAATTTGTAAAAACAGAAGTAAGAAAATATTGTTTCAGTCATTGTCCAATCTTTGAATTGGAATGACACAGAACATATGACTAAAACTTTTAACTTTCTAGTTAAAGTCTTAACTATTTTATAAATTTTTATCAGCCAATACTGGAAAATGAATGTAAGTAATGCTGAAGGAGGCAGACAATAAAAGTCGATGTAACATGTAAAACCCAAAACATTAAAAACATAACATACCTTTTTCAAAGACAAAAATGTTGCAGAAGGAAAAAATGTGGTCTGCAGAAAATCTAAAAATGAGAAAAATCGAATTTGATAAAACTGTACTTGAAGAGAACTATTAAATATGTAGTGAAAACAAAATTAATACAGTTTTTGCAAAACAAACTCCATGAGTGTCATCTTTGATTAATATCATTTGCGATAAAACATTTTGCTTTCTACACATCAGTAACCACTCATCTCTAGAGGCAGTATCTTTCTCTAGCTCCGCGAAACCCATGCATTGCCTCTTTTTTTGGATTTCGCTTGGCTTGGATGAGAGGTTTTAGATCTGTTGAGGTGGAGGTGGATTCTACTACTGTTGTGACTCTTGCTAATCAGCAGGATAATTTTCTCCATCCTCTCCACATCCTGATCTGTGGCTGCCAAGCTTACTTGAAGATGGACTGGCAACTCTCCTCCTCTGCTTCTTCAAAGCTCAAAACTTTCACACTCAATGGATCAAATAAGCCTTGTTTTTAATACCCTTTTAGAGTTTGATCATTAAGTCTGTTAAATTTTTTATTTATTTTTTGTCTGATTTGAATTTGTGGGTTTTGTCTCCCAATATCAAAAGCTTATAGTTTTATATATGTCAGTAATAATCCACAATATCTCAATTTTTTTCCAAGCAAAAATAAATATCTCAACAAATCAGTGCTTCATTTGGTATTCTTCTTTCCAGTTCCATATCAAAATCTATTTACATCCCTATGTTCTATAAAGAACAATTGATATGAAAAAATTATCTTATTTACATCCATGTAGTATAATACACAGTAAAAAATTATCTTATTCATCGCCAAATATTTGATTTTTCGCTATGGTTTGTTATTTTACCGAATTTGGTTGTTGATATTTCGTATTTTTTATCGTTCATTTGTGTTCTATTGGGGTTGTATTTTGCTAGAATTTCATAGAATTTGATTTGGCTGCGTAACTGATTGGCTTAAAATTTTGTGAGATTAAATATTTCTTGAATTTGATCAGTAGATTTCCCTTTTTTATTTTTTTTATTTTTTATTTTTTTTTTGGAAATATCTTGTTTTCTAGGTCCCAACTTTTGACATTGTTGTTCAGTACTTCACTCTTCTTTGCAGCAAAGAAATGTTTTTCTTGTACCATGCATAGGATTTTTAGAAATGGATCAAAACTAACATGAGATATAGAACTTCTGTGTTTCACTTACTTATTGATTGGGTTACAATCTCAGCATGAGAAACTCACTCCATGATCTGAAAAACATGGAAGAATTATATAGCTACAGTAGAAAAACTAACCTACGATTTTAGAAATACAAAGTAGGATAAATTTGCTACATGGAGATCCCACAACAGAACCAACTTACAAATATTCTAAACTCCATCCAAAATTCAAACCGTCTGCAATTCTATACAAAAATATAAACTTGTATGACAATTACTACAATTTGAAGTAAAATTTAACCTATGCAATAGTTGAATTTAATAACTCAACAATATTAATATTCTCAAGAGAGAGAAAAAAAAAAAAAAGCACAAAAAAATAAAACCCCATATAAAAAAATCCAAGACTTTGTACAGAACATAGGCTTACCTTTCTTCAAGAACTGCAATTGAAATTGCAGCAGTTGCGTTTGTTGGGTGGTGGGAGTCATTTCGCTGTGCAAGAGTTGCTGAAAATTTACCAAAATCTTAGTAAGATAAAGAACAAAAATAGTAATCACAAAACTCAAATTTAAAGCATAGTTTTGTAGCTCCTAAATTTTTTCTAAAGAATGCAAACACTCTTGCCTATCTCATATGGCTATAACTCATGAATCCAAATCTCATTGAATCAAGCCTATTCTCTTAAACCAAAGATGAAATCATTTCATGATCTGCAACTAATATGATTTACAACTAAAAAATAAAATTAATCAACTCGAAATCAAATATAAATCCAATTCAATTTAAACCTACCAAGCATAACAGAACAAATCATAGATAAACAATCAATCAAACAGAACTGAATGAGATTTAGCTCCTTCAAAAATTTCACATTAAACCCAATTATAAAGCACAAAATCCTACCCAAAAATGAAAACAGAGATAAAACAAAGCAAAAATCGAACAAAAAGGGATGGGTACCTCTGTTTTTGACTCGAGATCTCTGCACGCTTTGAATTTCTGCTCACAAAATATATTACTTTATGTAACACTTGATAAAATTTGGAAGGTCCTTATATAATAAGATTCATGTTTGCTTATGATTTTTTTTTTTTTAAATTCCCTTAGCAAGAGGATTAGTAATGGTAAAGCTAAAGTTTGGGGATTCATGTGTGATTTGGCTTTTGATGTTCAAATGACGGAGAATGAATTTGTCAATGTAAGTTGGCAAATATTTGATCGAGTAAAAACTACGTTTAGCCACAAAATACTATCATGTAGTCAGATGGAAGCATTGAGGATTAATTTTCATTAATAGTATTCGATCTATTTGCAGACATTTTGTATGATAATCCTTTTTGGGTGGTTAGTCAGATCAATTAGGGATATATTTAACTAAAATGGTAACACATTTTAACTAAAATGATATACAATTCAATATCCTTCTCTTTGAATTGGAGATTAAGTAGAAAATATTACCCACAAGTCATCCACATATTCATAATTATGCATGAAAAGTAGAAATTCGAAAAGCAAAAACTAAATCACTTACATGGCAGGTCTTCAGCAAGAATAGCATTGCTGCAACCAAAATTGATACCAATAAGCCGTATGAATCTTATTGATTATGAGTACCAATTCTCTAGATTGAGCACTGCGGGGTAAGATTTGCACTTGAGGGTAAAATCAAATTAGGTTCTATTTAATCACAGGTGCACCAGAAAATTATAAAAAATTTCATACCTTTAAGTTTCAACGTTTTTACTCTGGAATCCAAGAAAAACCCATATTAGATTCTAAGTGGGTTTATCACAAATAATAATTTAATCAGAAATTAACACTGAAAATAAATCAAAAACACAAAAAAAAATTGAAATTTTCGTACCTCTAAGTTTCTGGGTTTTTACTGTGAATCATATTGAGAACTAAGAGCGCAAATTGCTGGAGGAGAAGACGAAGAGGGAGGAAGCACGGGTTTCTTTTGGCGATGAGTGGGAAAGCACGTCAACTTCCAAAAAAAAAAAAAAAAAATAGAAAAAAAAAAGGGAAATCTAATGATCAAATTCAAGAAATATTTAATCTCACAAAATTTTAAGCCAGTCAGTTACGCAGCCAAATCAAATTCTATGAAATTCTAGCAAAATACAATCCCAATGGAACACAAATGAACGATAAAAAATACGAAATATCAACAACCAAATTCGGTAAAATAACAAACCACAGCGAAAAATCAAATATTTGGCTCCTGGGTAGTTGAGAAGAAGTGAGATTTAATTACCTGTTGAAGGCTAGAGAAATTGGGTGCACGATTAGGCGGCAAGGAGATCGCAAAGCAGAGACCAAAAAGATGAGGAAGCAGAGATTGAAGGGATCACGAATGAGAGATCGAAAGCATCAGGAAGCAGAGATGGAAGAGATCGCAAGGCGGAGTGTAGGATGCATGATCGAAACCGCCAACCCGTTGCAGAGCAGCTGAGAATTCTGTGTTTCAAGTGTTTTCGGCAGAAGTCGAGAGATTTCTACTGGAAACCATGTGGAAACCATGGCCAAAACCGTCATTTTACTGCGGAAAACACAAAAAAAGCTAGACTTGAAGAGCAGCTGAGGGGCAAAAATGGAAGAACACTGGCGAAGGAACAGTGAAAAGGACACAAAGGGAATTAAACAGAAAGTTAGCCGTTTAGTATATACTAGTAATAGAGCCCGCGCGTTGCTGCGGGTTTTAAAAGTTTATAAAACATGTATAAAGTTGTATTTCAATAGTAGAAAACGATAGTAGGCAAGAGAAGCAAAGAGCTAGGTGCATAACAAAGCTTCAGTAATGCATAATGATTTCATCAAATGTAAAGGAAAGGATTGCTAACTACTAAGACATGCAACTAACACAAAAACAGTTACTCTTGAGCTTACAATTATGATTGTTGTTTGACCGAGATTATTCAGCTCAATCTGCTTTGTTCATCTATTTCTTACGCTTTTTGTGTTGATCTCTCAACCCTGAAAGGAATAACAATATCAATATAAACACAGTCAAACATAGCCACAGAAGCCAAACACGAACAATCTCTCATATCCTCCACCCAGAAACACATAGAAAGAAAAAGGAAGAATATGTACGTGTTGTCTCCTCTTCTCTTTTCCTCCTAAAGATACTCACAATGGATATCATTGACAGTGATAATATATTATTGTTTCTTTGGTCAAATGTAATCTAATATTGTCAATTGGTAGTTAGTTCTAAAACATTGTTTTTGCAAAAAAAAAAACGAAAAAAGAATTTTGTAGAAAGATGGATCAGATATGTTTGGTTTGGTGTCTCTATGTAATATAGAGATATAATTTGCTGAGTTGTTTCAGCCTTCATGATTTGGACAAATAATCATCACTTCCATCTTTTGTCTTCAAAGGAATTGACTGTTACCAATTTGTAGATAAAGATTTTCTTATTTTGTTTATTGTAAATACATGGCCAATCAGTTGATTGTTTACTGAGGAGTTTATGGACATCTAAAAGTATAAACAGAGATGTTCCCACCAAAGATATAGTCTCTCTACATGTTTTAACCAAGCCAAAAAAACATCTTAGAGGTAGGGGAATTGTTAAATCTAACCAATAAGTAATGAAAGTGATTTATGTATAGATTTAACAATTTCTTTATTGCCAAGGTGTTCTTTGGCATGATTAAGGCATGTGGAGAGGTTATATCTCTAGTGGGGATCTCAAGATTGATACTCTTGGATGTCCAACTAAACCGATCAACGATCAGCTAAGTAATTGGTCATGTATTTAGACCAAACAAAAGGAAGATAGTTCTTACCTACATTGGTAACAGGCGATTCCCCTGAAGAGAAACTTTAGTAAACATTGAATTTAAATGTAAAATATTAGCAGAAGAAAATTAATAATCTGAATTGTTTTGGCATACCATTGAATTGTATGATTGTAGTTTAGGATATAGGGTAGGTAAGAACGAACTAAACATGTTAAATAAGTGCAAGCATTCATACCTTAATTTCAAGCTTAACTTTCTTCTTGAAAATTGTTAAGCTACAAAAGATTTATGAATAAGAAGCTTAACAACAACATCTAGGAGCAAGAAAAAAAATGGAAGATGGATTGGTACAAAATCTTACAAACAATAAGGAAATTCATGTCCATTTTAATATGAATATAGAAGTAACATTACTTGTCATTCCAGTCAGACTGAAACCTATGAAAAGGATGAACAAAAGGAAAACTATCAACTCTGTCAATATCGTCTTGTTTCCCAAGCATAATCCCAGAAATGTCTTCCTCTGTTTCAGGCCAATCGTTTCTTTGGGAAACATCCAAGAAATGAAAACAAAGGAAAAAAAGAAATAATACATTTATATACCCTTAGCACATAGGGTTTTAAGAATCTAAATCAAAAATCTCAAAAAGTGAAAACGCCCCGTTTCTTGAAAGAAAAACAAAACGCGTTGAACATGCACAAAAACGGTCTGAAAAAGAAACGCATCAAACATGAAAAACTCACGTAGAAACGTTGAATTAGATGGGACTCAGCCAAGTTCAAAGTGAATCCAAAGTGGGCACAAAATTTCTAAAATAAAAAACCAAAGCACATGAGATACTAACAAAAGCTATCGAAAAAAGATGGAAAATCAAAAGCTTGTGCAGCAACAAACATGCAAAACTTACTTGGAAAATCTAGAAAAAAAATTATATTCTAAATGTTGGAAAAAGGGCATGAGAATGTTACATTTGGCCAGATTCATAATTGCTTTGTAAAGGGAGTTGGTATCATGAGACATCATTTGATAATTTAAATTTTTTAAGAAAATGGGCCTATGTAATCATCAATATACAGTTTTAAAAGCGAAATAGTTTACAACATTGAAAGCTTGAAAATAAAAAGGAATTAATCTAAGTTGAATAAACAGGAATCAACATTCACATATAGGAAAAGGTTGAGTTTTTACCTACTGGTCCAGCCATAGTAACCAAGACTACAGCTCCTATTCAAAGGTCAATTGTTTTTCCAATAGAAAATTGTATGTTAAGACAATTTATTCAATTAGAATGAAACTAATGAGATTAAAGTCAAAATTTAAAACTAAGGCGGAAAATGGATTTGATAGCCAAAAAATTGATGATAGGACAGGTTGCAAACCTTGGTAAAGCAGAAGTGTTTTGAAAGCTGCAGACAGAAACCATATAAAATGCAGACCAACATCTGTTAAAACATAAAAGAAAATTAAATTACACATTTAAATGATAAATCTAATGATATAAATAGAAGATCTAAAATTGTGTAAAATGTTATGCATCCATTAATAAAATTAAGAATTTTGTTCTAAATTTTGTAGCACATCTTTGAAAACTATGTTTAGAGTATAGTTGTTTAGATCATTTTCTACATTTGTTATCAAAATTTTTAAACCTTCTCTTGATGTGACTCTAGATAATGCAACATATAATTGACCATGAGTGAAAACAGGTTCAGGAAGATATAGTCCAACTTGTTTTAAAGATTGTCCTTGACTTTTATTAATGGTCATTGCATAACATGGCCTAACTGGAAATTGACGTCTTTTAAAAATGAAAGGCCACTTGTTTTCAGTTGCTGCAAGAGTGATTCTTGGTATGAATACTTTGTGACCAACGTTATTTCCAGTAAGTATCTTAGCTTCAATAATTCTAGGAAATAACTGTGTGACAATTAATCTAGTTCCATTACATAAACCATAAGATTGATTTAAATTTCGCAACAACATAATTGGCATTCCTATTTTTAAAATTAAATTATGTGCAGGTAAACCATTAAAATCAAGCTTATTTAAAAATTCTGTAGGATACATTATTTCAAGATTCTCAACATTTCCATTTGAGGAACACAAAGAATCATAACTTAAAAATGTATGTTGTTCTCCAGGTAACAAATTGATTATATAATTGTTTATTTCTGTTACTGTTGTATTTCGAGGTGTAACAATAGCTCGTTCTCTTAAGTAAACAAAATTGTGAAACAAATTTTCAAAATTAGGATAAGTTGCTTCAAAAATTGAAGAAATTGGGTTTGTAGAAGGATGAACTATTAAATCTTCAGGTATTTGAATAAATGATGTATCACTGTCATTTGAATGATTTGCATCGTTCATTTTTCCATCACCTATTTGTAAAATCCAGTTTGCAAAATCACTGATTTTCTTTTTTTTCTTCAATGTTTAAATCATTTCTTGATAATCTCATGTTTTCTTTTAAACGGAAAATTTTAAAATGAGACCACAAATAAGAACTATTTAGGGAAGCATTTATTATATCTTCTTTGGTTCCTCCAGGTAAAACAGGTAATATCTGTCGAAAATCACCACCTAGTAAAAGAGGTTTACCACCAAATGGAAGTTTCTTATCTGAATTTTGCACATGTGATAAAATGTCAGAAAGTGATTTATCTAATGCTTCAAAACAATATTTATGATTCATAGGTGCCTCATCCCATATGATCAAATCAGTTTTTTCAATTAATGTAGCAAGATGTGTTTTTTTCTTTATTGGACAAATTGAAGAATCAGTAATAACTAATGGAATTTTAAATCTGGAATGAGCTGTTCTACCACCTGGTAATAACAATGATGCTATTCCTGATGAAGCTACAGCTAAAACAATTTTTCCCTCAGATCTAAGTTTGCTTATGATTGTATCCCACAAAAAAGTTTTTCCAGTTCCTCCATGACCATATACAAAGAAGAGACCGTGTTTTTTTCTATGCACAGTGTCTATGACAATATCATATACATATTTTTGATCTTCGTTAAGCTGTGATTTTAAAATTGTATGTTTTTTGGACAATTCTTCACAATCATAATTTAACTCTTCTCTTAAAAGTTTGTTTTTAATTTCTATCATTTTATTTTCATCAGGCATTGCTAAATTATATTTGTTCAAAGATGTAGAAGCATTGTTAAAAAGTAATTCTAATTCAAATAAGACAGAATTTTTTAGTTCTTCTTCTGGTATAGCCATATTAGGAATTCCAAAAGTTTTTTCTAGTTTGTATAAAATATCATCATACATGTTTTTCCAATGAGTATCAAAAAGAATTTGAGGATTTGCAACATCACAAAATAAAACAATTGTAACAAATAGTTGTCTTAATTGAGGAGATGATGCAACACTTACAGCAGTTGATAAAGCTTCTAACCATTCTTTATCATCGCCTAATAATCCTAAAGATTTACATGCATCATGGTACGAAGAATGCACAACACCATTAACAGTTTTAATATCATTAAAATCTAATGGGCCTTTTTTCAAGTTTAAAAGCATTCTTAAATAATATAATTCACCAGACGCAGGATGTACATATGCTATTCTACCAATTGATCCTTTACGCTTTCTTGGTTTCCAAATTTTATTCCGTGTGTCATACAAAAATTTTGATGGAATTTGAGCATAAGTTAGTAAACGCGCTTCATTATAAATTTTATTGGCTTCAAACCAGCTTGTTAACATCGTATGTTCAAAAGCTTTTTGTCTAACAATTGATTGAAGTGATTGATCACCACTAAAAACAATATTCTGTTCTAATGGTAAATGAACAGGTAATCGTTCAACAGAGGGTTCTCTATGATGTATTGAGTATTGAAATAATCTCCAAATAGCTTCATAAGGTGATATATATCTACAATTCAAATATGCTAATATTTCATCATTTTGATCCTGTTGAAAAATTAATCGTGCTCTATCCGGACCCTTGTTAACATATTTGAACAAATATTTTATAAGCATTGATTGACAACAGGATTCAACATTTATATGAGCATTGTATCTTAGCAATAATTCAGCATTATAAGGAACAACAAATCTATTATCAATTTTAATACCATTTTTAATCACAAATTTTGTATCATCATCACGGCGCCTATAAATCGGAAAACCATTAGATTCAAAAACTGTTTCATTTTTATATGATTTAGGAAAATTTTTGGAACATTTGTTTTCCCTCATGCATGGAGATTTTTTATTAATATGACCACATGGACCATGAATCATAAATTGATTAACAATTTCATAAAGTTTAGGATTGAGAATTTTGTCTGGTAATTCAGCTGAAATAATGGAATCTATATCAGATGGTAAAAAACATTTGAAATTTGATTTTAACCATATTAACATATGAGAATGAGGCAAACCTCTTTTTTGAAACTCAATCGTGCAAACATCTGCAAGCAAAGAAAAGAAAAGAAAAAAGAAATAGATAAAGTTAGTTTCATAAAAATAATAATAATAATGATGAATAAATAAATAGCAAACAAAAGAATAAGTTTTAAATATTTACTTGCTTCAATTTCTCCAAAAGGCTTTCCAGATTTTATAAATTCAAGCATATCATCGAGTTTCATTTTAAATACTCTAGAAATTATATCAGGTCTATCCTCAGGTTTGAATCCTGGTTTTTTTTCAAATTCTCTTATGATTTATGGCCATTTGACATTGCAAGTAAATGTTATAAACAAATCAGGATGTCCATATTCTCTACAAATTGCCATTGCATCTTGATAATTATTGATCATGTATCTAGGACTTCCTGTATACGAAGCAGGTAATATGATTTTTTGACCCACATTATTTGCATCATTATCCCCTCTTGTGATTGCATCGTAAATTCCTTTATAAACTTCAGTTCTTAAATTTTTTTGGTTTTGCCTAATATAATCCAATCTATCTTCTTCAAGTGTTGCATAAGAATCTACTATATATTGTTGAAAAAGCCTGCCTCCTTTTAACAATGTAGTTAACCATGGTTGTCGCTCTTGAATTTGATAAGCTATAAAAGCTCTCATAGGCACTCTTTGTCTTTTAGTTTTTGGACCTTTATAATTTTCATTCCATTTTAAATCCGGTCTATAACCATCTTCACCATATGGAAAAAGAATAGGATATTGCAATGCCATAAATTTTGGATTTAATTTTGTAACACGTTTTAATCCATCACTTTTAGACTCTATAATAATATCTCTATTAGAATCAGAGAGTCCTATATCACCAACTATTAAACCACCAATTTAATCATTTGTTGGTTGATCATATTGTTTGCTATCAGTTGGTTGCCTTGCTAACAATGTCATTTTTAAAGAAGTGACGCCATCATTTTCAAATTTATCTCTTACCGTGCGAAAAAGTTTAACTAATTCATTTGATTCATCAAACATTTTAATCAAACTTTCAACAATTTGTGGATCCAAACTTCCATTGTTTCGATCAGAATCAACAGCTCTCAAACGATTTTGTACTTCATTATACGTATCATAAACATATAACTGAGCAAATTTTGGAGGTTGATTATCAGGAGGTAAAAGAGAGCCCATTAAATGACAAACTTGACCACTAATTTTAAAAATGTAAGGACCTGATCCATCATTGATTGAATGATCAATTTTGGCACCCATAGAAGTAAAGGAAAACATGGAATTGTAAGCTCTAATATTTTCTCGAAACGATGAACTTTTTTGACCTCCATTTGGATCAAGCAATAAATCTAATAAATATGGAGTTGGTTTTGCAATTGGAAGGCTTATTTTTCCTTGTTGACAACAAAGAGTAAAAACGGGTTCATTTTTTGTGCATGTTTGTTTAAGAGATTCTTTTAACCAAAAATAAGCACCACAATAACTACATTTATAATTTTTATCCCCCAAGTCTGCATACTCTTTGACAATACCTATACAAAAAGATATATTAAAAAAATCAATATTACAAACAAATCATTAAGTAGAAAATAATGTAAAATTTTGAGATAAGAAATTATTATATAAGACAAAAAATACATACCAGTCCTGTTTTTTTGGAAAAATGCTTGACCTCTATTTATAAGATTGGAATTCTCAACGTGTAAAGCTTTTTTAACTGTGTTTTCAACATCCCTTGAGACATCAACAACATTTTTTCCTTTTTTATCATATGGGTCAGAAATTTGTCGATTGCAAATCACATGTTGTGTTTCACCATGAATAATATTTTGACCTAAACATTGCATGCCACCAGATAGATTGCTGCTAGATTGATGGTCTAAGAACAAATTTGTTTCTGATTGACTGCTGCTAGACTGATGGTCTAAGAACAAATTTGTAGAAACAAATTCATCAATTTGAGGTAAAAGAGCGTGCGCACAATTTTCCATATATATATTTCTACACACTTTTTTTGGTTGATGATTATGTTTGAAAACCTGAGTATATTCATCATCCACAGTATTTTGTTCGCGCTGGACAGGTGTAATTGTTAAATTTTTTGCAGCTCTTTTAGACATAGTGTGAAAAATTTGTTCTAAGCAATTTACAAACAAATAGTTGTAAATTAAGCTGTAAAAAAAAAAAAGGAACAAAATTAATAAATACATGAGAAAAACACTAAAATATTGGAATTTTAATGGAATGAAGGATAAATAAAATAACAAACATAACAATGCTTGTAAAAAGAAAAATAAAATTATATATTTATGCTTTAAAAGAAACAGTTCCAGAATTTAAAGCACTTGCCTTAAACACCAAAAGCCTTGCACCACAAAACCAAATGCTTTAAAATTCTACGTTGCACAATTTTGTGAGAACCTATAAAAATAAAAATGAGTCAGCATTAGTACGTTAGAATCAAACTATTCAGGTTTCCATACAAAACAAAACCATATGGACCCCATTTTTGTACAATAACTCGCAGATGCTGTAAAATACGTCTAATACAGGACAAATAAATACTGATAAAAAAATTGTCAAATGATAAATACAGGCTTCTCTAAGTAAGCCCATGGAACTACACACATAGAAATAAATCGATAATAAGAATATAAATATGTATACCATGCCTTGAAAACAATGAATAAATTAAATCATCATCTTGACAATTATAAAGAAAACCAAGTATATGATTAACAAAAATTAAGCCTAAAAAGAAACGCAGGGCATAAAGATCTATTATAAATTGTCGCTTACATCAGAAACAAATGTTAATTTATTCAAAATCAAACATGGAAAAAAATATATATATATATGGAAAGAAGAGAATAGATAATAAGCGCAAACAAATTTTGTTCAGATTATTAATTCATATTGCAAATCATAGGTCACAAATTGAAACCAAATGATATCATTGAAGAATACCTTTTGTGTTATGTCTTTATATTGATTGCCAACAAAATTGTCTTTTTTTTTTTTTTCCTTTCTCAACCCAAAGTAGAACCACCAAATCCTGTAATGAAACAAAATATTGTTCATAGAAAATTTCAAAAATTTAATTAGATTTAACCAATACAGTCCTAAACCTATTTAATCTGAAAAATATAAAAAGAATTTTGTACATTACAAAATCAAATCAAATCATATAATTTCTAACATTTTATTCATACCTTTTTTATTTTGTCTTTATACCGATCACCAACAACCTTTATATATTTTTACTCAATCTTTGAAGGTGAATTTTCATAAAAACCTGCAATCATGAGCAAAAAAAAAATTAATATCACAAAGATAGAAAAAAATTGCAGCCTTGAATATTTATAACATCAAGAGAAGGACCACACAAAGATAAGATTGATCAACAAAGATACATTTGTCCACCAAAGTCCAATAAAATACATCCAAAAAAGCTGTTCAGTTTTTACACTTATTGATCAAATAAACTTTAAAAACGAATTCAAATGAACTAAACGGAAAAGAATAACAAAAATTTATGTAAAAAAAAAAACAAAAAGAATTTAAGCATATTAAGACCATGCACTGACTAACTCGTTGACTAAATCATCAACACTCTGAATACAAATAAATAAACGTGCAAGTAGAGGCGTAAAGTAGAGCATCCCATAATTGTCAATGATGGAAAAAATTACTCTGTCAATGATGGAAAAAATTATAATAAAAAAGAAAAATTAAATCATGTTTTTGCTTTTTAACAAAATTCATCTACTTTTTCCATATGGGTACTTTCGTATCCACGCATTCCCATGTTGTTTTTCACCGAGAAAGAAACCAACAAAAGCATCATGCACTTTTTATAAATCTATTTCAATCACACAACTGATGGTCACTCAATTAACTTAGTAATCTACTACTATCACTGCTTGAAGAATGATCCGGGTTAAAAAATTAAGGAAAAGAAAAAGATCTCGTTACTGATATCTTCGTACACAACAAAAGAGAACTCTTTCTTTCAACCAAACTAAAAATCAGAAAAACCTTACACTGATTTCTTATTTTCCCAGCAACTGCAAGCTGCAGAACCGCACAAAACACCGACTGAAAGCAACAGCACGAAAATCTACGACGACCCGAAGCAGAAATTTTTGAGGCAAAAAGGATTTGAGCTCTGAGAGCGATCGCGAGCCAAAGATGGAAATGAGAGGAAACAAAACCAGTGAGAGCGACGGTGAGGGAAAGTTGGAACTGAGAGGAAACAAAAGGGAAGAAAATAAGACACAAACAAAGCACCACGCGATGACCAACAGGTGGGCTTGACAAAACTGTTCTGCACTGTAGCAAAAACAAACGGAACCAATAAAAAAAAAGTGAAACAAAGTCCAAGCCAAGCATAAGCAGCAGACAGCACCAAATGAGGGCAAATCTGTAAATTAACTGTTCTAAACAGGAAAAAAGCCTCAAACTCAGCAGCAGCGAAGGGCAATTATGTCAAAACACTGTTATAGAACAGTACCATCAGGTTTGGGTTTTAGTATATATAAATATAATTTTGTCGTTTGACTGACTTTATGTCAAATCCGAGCTATCTGACTAATTCGAATCTTAAACTTTAGCATTTCTTGCACCATCCAAGCTACTTCTTGATGAGTATGTGAAAAGAGGATGCCAAATCTGGTTTTTCAGAGTCTATTTCATCATCAAGTCTAGAGAAATTGCTTGGAAATATAATTTTTTGCACATTCAACGTGCACATGAGCACGAGGATGACTCTCAAATTGACATCAGTAGACTATCATAATGCGGCAACAATATGTTAGGGCATAATTGGAGATTGTTGAGACTAGAGAAATTGATTTCAGAGTCCATTTCATCAAGACTAGAGAAATTGCCTGGGAATATAATTTTTTGCACATTCAACATGCACATGAGCACGAGGACGACTCTCTCAAATTGACATCAGTAGACTATCATAACGTGGCAACAATATGTTAGGGCATAACTGGAGATTGTTGAGACTAAAGAAATTGATTTCGGAGTGCATTTCATCATCAAGACTAGAGAAATTGCTTGGAAATATAATTTGTTGTGCGACTTGTTCTTGGCAATCGACATTGAAAAGCTTAAAGCTAAGCCTGCCAAATCAATAGTTCAATACACTGCAACCATGGGAAAGAAGACAATATTGTCTCTTGTTGATCAAATATCCCTCTTTGATGATCGAGATGATTCAAGATATTCGGGAAAAATCTTAATTGCGTCTAGAGATCGTGATTTCGGTTGGAATATTGATTTCGGGATTAGTGACCACATGACGCATGACAATTCTCTCTTCCAATCCATGATTTCTCTTCCAAAAGAGAGTGTCATCACTGCCAATGGGGATGTTATCTCAGTAACAAGGGATGGTTCTATTGCACTCATCCATCTTTATCTTTACACAATACCTTACTTATTCTAGCATTTGATCGGTCAAGTTACCGAACAACTGGATTGTATCATACTAATATTTTCGTTTTTTTTGCTTACTTCAGGATATCCGCACTTGTGCTATAATTGGGTGTGGTACTAAGAGAATGAGATTGTATTATGTCGATGATGTGGCTTCCGGCATAATGAATCAAGTACGTAGTAGGAATGGTGACAAAATTAAGAAGATTTGTTATGGCATCGGCGGCTTGGGCATGCCTCGTTTGGCTACTTACAAAAGTTGGTTTCATCATTATTTACTGGTATTTCAAACTTTGAACTAGAGTGTCATGTATGTACTCTAGCAAAGAGTCTTCAAACCTTTTATTCATTGAGTTCCACTTAAAGAACTATTCCTTTTAAATGAGTGCATTCTGATGTGTGGGGTCCTTCCGTCATTTCAACTATGCACGAAATTTGATGGTTTGTGTTATGGGTGAATGATTATACTAAGATGACTTGGCCCTATACAACAAAACACAAGAACGATATTATTGGAATTGTTAAGAATTTTCATCAGATGATTCAAAATCAGTTTTTGCTTCCTATTAAAGTGCTTCGCTCCGATAATGACTGCATTCTTCCTTTTCCCTTCAAATGCAAAAACTCAGTGTCTCTAGTAAACCATAATTTGCATGTTCCATCAAAATGATCCACAATAAAGTCACCATAAGGAGGTCCTCTCCAAGTAACAAAAAACTCATCTGCGCTAACTAAATTTCCAATCTCAACATGTACATCAGATAACTTGAATGGAAATATCCACCCTCCTCCTATTCAAGAAAGATGGATTCTCAGGGCCTAAACTAACTTTCAATGGTTCATTGTTGTAAAAAAGTTGAGAATGCCCTGCTGCATCCATAGCACAAGCCACGGAACTAGGCAAGCAACATGCACAAATGCATGATGCTCCACCACGGTATAATCACTTGATCTTTATATTTGAAGCATCAGTGAGACAAAAATCTGGAAAGGAGTGTTGAGGGGTCCAAGAAGTTTTCAACCTGCACAAATATACAAGCCCAATGTACTCTTCCAAGTACTTTACAAGATCAGGCACAATCACATGTCTACCAAATCCACCGATACTAAGTTGAGTTACCACTGTGCTTGTTTCGCTTGCTCCAGATTCCATTTTCTCTACAAATATTTACTGCCTGACAAAAAAGAAAATGAAAAACCGGATCAGTAAGCCTGATACGAATAAACAAACATGTACGTGGGCAGATACAGTAAAATAGATTAATATCCGTACAAAAATTCAACCACCAAAGCCATCATCTGGTAACGAAAAACCAAAAAAGGGTCCTCGGCAACCATGACCAAGAAGGATGGGAACAATTTCAACTCTTGTATGACAAAAGCTAAAGAAAAATAACACGCAAATTGTGACACTCATTCATGAAATACTTGCTGATCAGAAACACTCGAAGATTGAGGTTGTAAAATCAATCAGTAAATCAAACTACATGGGATAATAGAAAACACAATACAAAATGCAATGTCTGGGTGAGATAAAGTAAGGTAATGTAGACCACCAACCATGCTGCGATACAATGCAGGGTGCATGGAATCGCCATCATGAGCAGACAAGCGAATAGAAGATAGAAACGGGGTGGGGCTAGGCTTTCAGAGATCCATCTTAAACTTCTTTAATAAATCTGTAGCATAGAGAGATTGAGACAAAGACATCTGATTTTCTTTTTGTGTGACTTCCATACCAAGAAAGAAAGCAAGGTCCCCAGCTCGCGACTTGCATATGTAGCACAAAATCAGTCAATAAACTGGTGAATAGCATTAGAGTTAGAGCATGTGACAATCAAGTCATCCAGATAGACAAGAACGTATAAAGGGTGTGGAGGAATGTTGAATGAACAAGGACGCATCTGATTGGCTGTGGAAGAAGCCTAGGCCACGCAATAAAAAGTGTAAACGTTAAAACCAAGCACGAGGGGCTTGTTTCAGTCCATATAGAGCTTTTGAAGATGACAAACATGCGTGCAGCATTGGGGATCGACAAAACCAAGCGGTTGTTTCAGATAGACCTCATTTTGCAAGATTCCATTTAAGAATGCATTCCGAACATCAAGTTGCTGCAAAGTCCAGTTCTTGGAAATAGCTAAGGCAAGGATGGTTTGAATGGTGCCTGTTTTGACAGATGCACTAAATATTTATGCATAATCAAGACCTTCTTGTTAATTATAACATTTGACAACCAGTCATGCTCTATATCGTTCAATAGAGCCATCCGCCTTTTGTTTTACCCGAATGACCCATTTGCACCCTACAATATTCATATGGGAAGTGACAGGAAGGGATTAAGTATGGTTCTGGTGAAGGGCCTCATACTCTTCCAACATGGCTTGCTGCCAATGTGGATATTTGGAGGTTTGGGTGTAGCTTGATGGCTCAAAGGACAAAGGGTCATAAAGTGCAGGTGATAATCCATGTGGAAGCAGATATCTATCGGAGCCATAAGTCAAGGTATTTACATTTCTGAATTTTTGTGGCTGAGGAGATGAGTAAGGAGAGTCCGATGAAGTGATGTTGTGGTTGAAAGTCGGCAAGAAAGTAGATGGTGCCTGCGGTGCCAATGCCATAGCGGATGGGGCAGTGGAAATAGGCGTTGAAGCAGGGCTAACCCATTTCAACAATATGACAATGCTTTCATTCCACAGTTCCATTTTACTGTGGCCTACAAGGACAAGAAACTTGTTGAGTTATACCATGTTGTTGAAGAAAGGTACAAAAAGCATGACTAGTGAGCTCACGGCCACCATCGATTTGTATGATAATAGTGTTACTAAACCTATTCTCAATCATCATTTTAAATGTCACAAAGGTAGACATGACATTCGATTTTTAGGCAAGAGGAAATAACCACATAAACCGAGAGAAATCATTCAAAATTGATAAGTAAAACTTGTACCCAAAATTTGATGAAATAGGGGCAGGTCCCCGAACATGAAGATGCAAAAGTCAAAATACTGGAAGATGTATGAGTGTAAGAAGTAAAGGAGTCTACAAGCTTTGCCTAAAGGGCATATATGGCATGCTGTATTTGAATTCACTGGACCACTAATAGGTTAAAGTGGTACTTACTTGCCAATACATTAAAAATAGCACTTAGAAGAATGACCAAGGAGAGCATGCCATACATTGCGGGTTGTTCGTTCGCCATAGAAAGCGATTTTTGGTGTAACTTAAGATCAGCCCGAATGCAGCCTCCATAATTATGCCAAGAAGAAGCACATGTCCTGTCCTCTTCTCCTTCACACGAAAAGAAATATCATCCATCTCAAAGTAGGAGAAATTATCACGACAAAATCGACAAATGGACAACAGATTCTTTTTTATAACAGGAACGTATAATACATCAATGAGAGAGAGAACCATGTGAACATGATAATGATGATTGGCCAATACGAGAGATACTGTGTAGGGCTGAAGTAGGCTAGGAGTAGATGGATCAGATGTCATTGTAAGAAGAAATATAAACTTATAGATTAACTCATCAGCCAAGAACATAAGGATTAATCAACTAAATCACAAACCTTTGATCGTGTATGTAATGTGAATGTAAGAACAGAAGCAATTACACCAGTACATACCTGCGGACATGTTCATAGACGAAGAAGCCATGAAAATCTGCACAAAACTTAATGCTTTCCAAGTTATAGGTAATTGGAACAAAAGAACGTTATTTGTGAGAGCAGGGGCTTGTGGTTTTATACTAGTAGATTGCCCTATAACAATCCCACAAGGATTACAAGACCAAATCCTTGTGCAAGCATGAGTTCTATACCCGAGTTATCAACACAGAGTTTCAATCCAAACCACAGTCGAATTAACTCTTATAAACATATTAAGACTTCTTTATTGTAATCCGAGACAACAAGAATTATTATCAAACTATATGAATCATACTCATACTCTTAACATTCTCTCACTTGAGTATGATTTCACAATAGCAAATAATCATCTCAGATTCAACATAAAGGTGATCGCATAAGTCTTACATATATGTTTCCAACAGAATACTACTCACACATATCAGTCAATGAAT